AAACAGTTTTTGCAATGTTACGCACTTGTAAGACGGAGACAACACATGCGGGTGTAGCGTCCTCTTAACCTATTTATTACTCGTTGCATAATAACAAGTTTGAATCAAAATTTTAGATGTATTTTGAGCTTTTTCTTTAAATTTTCAATGTGTTACAATGAACAATTATTATTTTTTGAAGATAAAATTCAATTTTTTACTCTTGCGTGTTAAGTATTAGGCTATAATAGTGGTATTCCCATAAGGTATATGCTGACATGTTGTATACTCTCAAGATTTTTATTTTTTTAATTATTAGCATACTGGCATACTGTTGTAGCAATCCTGCTTGCAGATGGTGGATCTTGTGAGATATATGTAAGGAAAGGGGTAGAATTAATCAACAAGTTTATCATTGATTAATTAATTAATTTTATTTAAGTTTGACTAAAGTTAAATTCATATTGATAAAATTAGTATAACCACTAGAAATAGTCTGTTGGTATTCAGAAAATAGGTATAAGATTACTCGAGTATAAAATAAAAATCCCAAACTCGTTCAATTGAAATATTTTTGTGTCCGAATTACAATTGTGAAGAGACGACTCTTGATAAGGTACTTGTACTGGCTTGGACAGTTCATGTCTGAATTTGGTCCATTCGGGTCTTCTAACCTAAAAAAAAATGTATTTAAGTAATATATTCATATATTTATTTAATAAAATATAAATATGAAATTTGTTTATCATTCATACTACTGCCGTTTTTTATACCAATATTGTAGTCTCAAACTTAATGTATATAATGATTATGTAAGACCATTTTTTTATTTTAGCACCATCAACTTTTTTGTTAAAATTGGGCAAAAAAATTGTTTCCGATTTAAACAATTTTAATACGCAAATTTTATGTTCAGAATATTTAATAATAATATTAGAGTGAAATGATAAAATATCAAATTTTAAAATAAAATTATTATTTAGGGCCTGTATATATGTTTTTTTTTTTATATTTATATTTTAAAGAAAGCTATTAGGTATTCTTCTCTAATTAAACTACATTCAATAATATAATAGTAAATATTGTTCATTATAATTTTTTGTTATTTATGTAGATATGGGATACAGCCGGTCAAGAACGTTTTCAGTCATTAGGAGTGGCATTTTATCGCGGTGCTGATTGTTGTGTATTAGTATTTGATGTAACGTCGCCTGGATCTTTTAAATCTTTGGACGGATGGCGGGATGAGTTTTTAATACAAGCATCACCATCTGATCCAGATCATTTCCCTTTTGTGGTCCTAGGAAACAAAGTTGACTTAGATAATCGATCTGTAAGTTTTTATTATTTTCAATATATTATAATTATTTATGCTATACCTATGATCCATTATGTATAGGTGTCCACTAAAAGGGCTCAGCAATGGTGCCAGAGCAAGAATGGTTTACCATACTTTGAAACATCTGCTAAAGAAGCAGTCAATGTTGAACAAGCTTTCAAAACGATAGCACGTAATGCATTAGCTCAAGAATCAGATGTAGAGTTGTATAACGAATTCCCAGATCAAATAAAATTGGATGGAGGTTCTACAGACAACAGATCTTCGGGTGGTGATAATTGTGCTTGCTAATGATAGTAAGTTACTACATTTCCTGGAATATTGCTGTCTATTATCAACATACTCCTTGGCTGTATTTCTAACAAGAGTCTCAAGGTTATTATTGTCTGGAGTAAAATTTTATTTATATATATATATATATATATATATATATATGAATTAATGAAAAAAGAGCATTATATAAACGTGGAGATAGTCTATTATTTAATATTTGAATTTAAGTTATAAATATATATTTTATTTGTTTCTACTTATATGTATGGTCACATTATACCCTAATATGATTTTTATAATTATTATTATTATTATTATTATTATTTTTACTTTTCATTAATTTGTCAACAGAACGTTGAATATTTTGTTGTACTTATGAAATATCTAGCTTATTTACAAATACTTTAGAAGAAGACAAACATATATTATCTTAATATGTATGTATATTTTCAGTATAAATATTGATACATATTCTTATTCCTTCATTTAGTTTACATTTTTACTTATAAAATAAACTTTTTTTTTCTGTGTATGTACAGAATTTATATCTGAACAAAACAAATTTGCTTGTTAATTTTAATTCTACTAAAAACATACATTTTTAATATTATCTCACATTTTATTCCTGATTGATCTTCATAACTTTTCCACATTAGTGCTACTATAAGGTTATACTAATGTTAACAATAATCTAACTAATTGTTTTTATCTGTACTCTAAGTGTGTTCTTTCTAACAGTGACTGTTAGATCAAATGATTTAATTAAATATTGAAAATATTGAGAAGTTGGTACTAAAATATCTGCATTATCTTGTGACAGTTTCTTTTATTTATAATATTGTAATAACTATATACTTATTCAATTAGTTTTCTATTCAGATGATTGAATACTTTGTCTTTACWGACGCATGATATAGTGAATTGTGACCTATTATCAAATTTAGAAGTAAGATTATTATTTAAAAAAAACCTTTGTGTTTCTCTAGATCATAATCTTCTCTATTTGAAAATAGGTCAATTTCTCCAATATTGATCATAACTGAGTTAAATTGATTATTCAAAATGTACAATTTGCCATATTTTGCATTTATGAGACCCAGATAAACGGAATATGAGTGATAGTCCTAACCCTAACAATTTCAATTCTTTAGGATTGTAGATCTTTCAAAAAATTCTAGTAAAACATTAAATTTATTTTTTTATAATTACATATTATATTTTCGGGAATAGAAGTTAACACAAATAATTAAACCACTGAATAAATGAAACTATTTTGTATTTCATTTATTCTGTTGACTATTACTAAGCAATAACTTCTAAACGAATGTACTTGGTTATGCTAATTGAAATAGCTAAACATTTTGTACTATATACCTAAGTTTAGATGACTGTCAGGAAAACTTTATAAATAAAATATAATAAAATAAAAAAAGTTATGCTTATTAAAATAATTTTAAACATTCACTTTCTTACATGGAAAACTCTTATTGTTGTTCATATTTGAATTTAATTATATGAAGACTAAAAAATATGCATATTATAATGTTGATTTGTTAACAATCATTATTGATAAACTAACATGATACATGATGGTCATAATTTGTTTTTGTGAATAAATAATATTTTCACAAATCAAAAAAATAAAATCATTTTTAACTGAGTCTTTTTTTTTTTTTTTTTGTACTTCCAAACTAAAATTGGGAAATTCGCACCACTATCGTCACTAAGTACTTTAGGTTATTGATGAAACTGATACATAAGATATGTTAAATTATTTAAATTTGAATTTATTACTTTATTTTAAACTTTTATTTTATTGGAATGAATGTTAAAAACTTTTTAGATTAAAATATCTAAATCCAAAAAATAAGTAACCTATAACACATTTAAAATTTTTTTAATTGAATTTAAGCTCATATTTACATAATGACTTATGAGACGGGCTACTTATGTTCTATATAGTTTTTGAGGATTTTTTTTTTTGAGCTAGCTTTCCTAGCCTAGGTCAGTGGCGTAGTTATGGGGAGGGTATACTAATATGTTTAGTTTAACTAATAACTTGTAATTTGTGCCATAAATATATTTTAACCCCCCCCCC